GTTAGTAAAATTGACGGCGTCATTCAGCATAATCAGAATTTTCTGAGTATTGTGCATTGAAAAAATCGATGATATCTGAATATAGTATCACTATATTCTGAAGCGCACAGTATTACTTCGACAGATCTGAATAACATCATCAACACAAAACTTGTCAACAGAATATAGTGCACAAGCATAAACCTCGTAGATGTCCAGACAGCAGCCATTGCAGCGAAACAGTATTCAAATTCATACTGTTCGTTGAAGTGGCATGCACAATGACTGTACATCCAGTGATATTGTATCAGCAAGCTGCATCCATCTCTATCAGTAACGATGACACTAGAACATATCTTTCCGTATAAAAGAATGCTCGAATTTTGAATCAAATCGAATTCATCAATTCATCACATTATTGAAGCGTTCACTCCTCCTGAACTGTAAGTTCCCCACTTTGTTCCGATCATGTTGAGTTCGGAACAGTTCTATGGTTTACCTGTATCCAATCTTATGCCATTAAGTCTCGGTAGTGTCGCATCAGTCCAGGTTTTAGAAGTGGTGACAGAACGGGAGAATAAATATTGATAATGTTCAATGGGGCTGAGTAGCTGGACCAGAAAAATTTTCATGATATTCCACGTTTTGTGTTCGTATGCGGTGGACACTTTTGCATGTTTAATTGTTGGCATAGGAATGGAATAATTTGTGAATGAGTTATGGCATATTTTTGAGAAAGAAATGTTGACAAGTCAGTTGCATTTTGCATTCAGGTAATCAAACGACCATGGACTCGAAGTTCGTTATCTTGACGATGCTTGCATGCATCGTGATGAATGCAGGTAAATGAATTGTTTGAAAACCATCACATGATTCGACTGGTTAACTTGTCACATCTACTAGTTCATTAGATTGATAGAGCGTATTGCATGATAATATCGCTGAGTGATGATGAGTCCAGTGTGTTTGTTACGAGAAATGCTCACATTTTTAAACATCACTTATTTGATCCATTGAAATTTTGAATATTTCGACTAAATAACTGCATCTGATATTTTAGGTCTGGTACGTGCACAAGGGAGATGCCCAATTCAATCGAATGCTTGCTTGAGAGGTAACTGCACTCAGCTTTTTGATGCTCACAATCAGTTTCTAGTCTATTTTTCTCCGTTTGGTAACACCATTCAATAGAATTACTCAATCTGAACACTGTTCGAAGACTATTACCAGACAGTCTCTTATATATCAGAAACTGTTAATCTAAAACCAAAGTGATGAAAATGATTTGTTTTCAGCGCAAGCTGGCAGACACTGTCGTGCTTCGAACGTCCCCGGCGATAATTGTCCAATGCTGATTCAGAGATGCGATCAGATCCTGAGAGGACAACAGATGGGAACGAGTTTATTCGAATACAACTTATTAAGGTGTTTGTACGGCCAGATTGATAACTTGCAAGGTAGAGATGATGAAGCTGGTGGTAACCGAACGAGTTTTTGATGAAAATGCATGATTGTTGTGCTGTTTGTTTGTTTTTTTTTT